CAACAGAAGTGGCAAACCAAACCACATCACTCCGGCAGGGTTTGCAATCCAAACCGTGTCACTCTGGGCAAACATACCAGGTCACTCCACCAGGACTACAAAAATGATTGAATACAGGAACTGGATACCAAACCATGCCCCTCAAAGCAGGTAAACCATGGACCATGTTCCTTTCCCAGAACAGGTGTTGCAAAGCAACATGTTGGTGCTATCAGAGGTCCAGGCACTGTGATTTCTTTTAAAATACTATTTGAACAAATCTGATCACTAGACCAATTATCAAAATCAAACAGGCCCCAAGCCAAGCCCCAGGTATCATGCCAGGCATCAGGTGCCAGGTATCTTCATGCCAAGCCCAAATCGCCACCGCTGCTGAGGGCCCTGGACGCAGAGTTGCGAGTACAGGTGAAGCTTGGTGTGGTTTGACAAAAAAAGTTTGGGATAAATTAATGACAATTATCTGATATATGAGCAAAGCAGTATCCAGGGTGGGGGGGGTGTTTTCTCTCAGCCACATGGAATCAACTTAGGAAGGGCTTGGACCCAGCTTTCGACTTCAAGAAGTTGTCATTTGTCCAGGAGGCTAGTGTCAATCAACATGAAGCCCACATTATCTCAGCTCAGTCATCCATCAACAACGCTCGGAAACAATCCCTGATGGCGGCATTCAACCTGTTCACTACCAATTTGCAGAATGACTGGGTGTTGCAAGACAAATACTTGGCCTCCGCTGCAATGACCACGCAAAGAGCTCGCTCTGTCCTTGTGCACTCGCTGGAGGTTGGGTACGCTGGCGCTTTTTCATTTTGTGGTTCCATCAGTTTTGACCCAGGTTAGGTTGTGTTCCTCATCATGTCCGTATATGTTTACAGCAAGTCAAAAAAAGAGCCGCTTCGTGAAAATCAATAGGCCAAAGAACAGTTAAGATCAAATCAGTTTCCTAAGGTGTTAAGGTCTTGGGAGTAAGTTCAACTTGGGATATTTGGATGCATTGAACCCTGCAGAAAATGCACTCAACCGCCTGGAAACTGGTGAATGAATTTGTGAGCGAAGTTGTGCCAACGTGGGATGTATCAGCCAGCAAGACCCCTCAAGGACTTAGTGCAACAAACATGGTCCTGTTCAATGACTAAGATTCTTGAAGCATCCATGTATTTTCTATAATAGAACTGGCTATCTGGCAGGAATCGACGCAGATGGTGAAGCCACGACGTTTGCTGCCAAGAACGAACCCTGGATCCAAGCGACATTGCAATCCTTTGGTGATGGGATGAGGCGGCATGAAACTGAACGTGTTGTCATTTGGGTGAACTATGTCACCGCTGGCGTCACAAGTGGCAAAAAGCTGGTCTTCACGATTGAACAGGTGACCCAATTGCTTCACAGCTTTCCTCGCAACAGCGTTGCTGTGGTCATGCTTCCCAACAGGGCTTCAGACCTGAGGTCCTCTCCCAAGTGCTTTGGCACTGCTTCATATTTTTTTGGCTTTGCAACAGTCAGTTCAACAATGTTCAACATGATCATTTATGTTTTTTTTTGCTGCTGAAACCATTTGAAGGTTCCCTTCAATACATGTTTGGCATAATGCGACTTGTATCAAACCAAGGAAAGAAGATGAGGAGGAGAAAGAGGAAGATGGCGATGGGGATGGAGATGTCAAGAAGCAAGAAGGACTAGGGGTGACTGGTTTCCTCAACACTTCAAGTCAAGTCTTCAAGTGGGCAGTTTTCTGATATGAATTTCATATTCTTGTTTTCTACTATCTCACTAACCATGGGGCAGGAACTGATGATGAGGCGGAGGGCGATGATGCTGGTTCCTTGTCAGCAGACGCCATCCTTCGTGACTTCCGGTACAATTTGCAATGCATCTACATGGAGCCTGCTCGAGATCTTCGGGTGGGCTTTTTGGGTTTATTAAATGTTTCACCTCACTATGGGCTGGATGTTTTGAATGTACTATTCGAACTAGGTTCTGCGCTTAATTTTAGATGTCCCCTGGGCAGGTGCGACCCATTTGCGTTTTCTTCGACCCAGCCACTGTCTATGGCACACGGGAGGGCTTTCATCCAGCTTTGTTGGTGACCAGCATGGATAAACACAACGTCTTCTTGAAGTCACCTGTCTACAAAGCTGGTGTGGTGTCAGGAGTGGGCATGCTACCCCGGCCACTGGGCTGACTTTTCCTTTGACCTTGTTCTATTCATCCTGGATGTTTGTTGACCTGTTATTTCTTTTAAGTACATTCTGGTTGTTGAAGACATCAATGTTTGATTTAGGTCTGAAATGGTGAAGGCTGAGAAATGTGGCAAATATGCGACTGACATGCGGCTGACAAGGGTGCAGGAGAAGAAACAGGCCAGGTTTTGTTGAACTCATGGAACATCATGGAACATATTCCTTTCAACAAGGGGTTTGTTATGTTAATCATGTTGCTTTCAGTATCTTTCAGTCATGTTGCCCTGCAGCACCTTGCTGGTACAAGTCTGGTGGAGAAGTTGGTGAAGAGCTTGATTTCTGAAGACAACACCTCGAATGTCATTGTGGACCTCCTTGGCTTTGATGCATGGCCTGCCTGCTTTGCCATGAAGGAACTTGCAACAGGACCATGACAAAAATACAAGTATTTTTTTAATGTTCCGATGTTTTCCACAAATACGGTTGGTTTCAACAATACTATATTACTATATATTATATATTATAATGTATTATATTAATCTATGAAAGGAACAAGGGCCAAAGCAACCGTTTGACAGGCGCCAACTTTGCCTGTTCGACGGCGTGCCATTCCCCCAACGAAACGAGCTACTGCACTTCCACCATTGGGGAGAAGCTGTACGGTATGTGTCGCTCGAACCAGATCAAATTGCCTGGCTTCCCTGAGTTCGAGCAAGTGGTGGCGGACCTCCGGAAAAGCAATTCTGAAGTGCCTCCACCGGAATTTCAAGTTTGCCTGCCAGTTCCCAATGGTTTGGCTATCCGAGAAAACCTTGTGGAGCAATGGACCAGCTGCGATCTGGTGGAGGTGGAGATGAAGGAGCTCTTGAAGAAGCACAATGATAAATACAATCCCCATGGGATCAAGCGTGGCTCTTCAGAGAAACAGTCTGGCGCCAGTGGCTTGGCACAATCATTTGATGGTTTTACTAGATTTAGACTCTGAAATTTTGAGCACGTGCAAGCGCACTGCATTTGGCCTAATAATCCCTGTACCAAGTACATCCAAGTACTGAGTACAATGATGAAAATGTCATCAAAACATTGGATTGGGTTGGGGTGTCACGGTCAAGTGCTCCAAGTTCCCTTGGCCTGTTTTGGCAACTCTTGCCCCTGATGAAGCCAAGGCACTACTGAAGATCCTGCTCCTGATGCAAAGCGTCTTCGCATTGACTCCTCGGTCAAGATGGCTGAGCATGAAGCGCAAATCGCCAATAAGTGGCAAGGTTGAAAAAGAAACATATTATACGTTGAAACTATCTTTTGGATCTTTGCCCCCCCAAGAAACACTGTGAGATAATGAGTTTCAAGATGTTTCAAGCTCTTGACCTGGTGTCATCAAAAATGGTTACATGTAAGAAATTCAAAAACTGTTCCATAATCGATGGATTGACAACTCTGCATTGCTATTTTTGGGATTTTGTATTGAGGCTTGTGCTCAATTGTGGCACCTTCAAGCTGGTTTACGACTCTGACCAAGACATCTTGTGGGCGGGGGCAGCCGATGGAAAAAAGAAAGACACCTTCGAAGCAAAGGGGCCGCTGGAGCTTTTTGGTTTTGGGTCAGGAGACTTCTTGGAAGGTCCAGATGCAAAAGATGTCCAGCAAGACTTGACTGGCAGGTGGCTGACTTTCAAATTGGAGAGTGGAAGTGAGCACTGCATTCTAGAAGCAGACCGACGCCTGCCTGACCATGTGAAGAAAATGGACATCTTTGGGAAAGCTTCTCAGTGTTATCCCTGTATGTTTTTTGTGCATTTTTGTGCATTCCATGATGAGTTTTCTCTTTGAGACAAAATGATACTTTTATGAACAATTGATATCAACACTGACTACCTTTAAGTCCTTTCAGGTTCTCACCTATGCGGATGTCTTACAGCAGCTGGAGAATGCAGGGGAGGTCAACACCAAGATGTCCATGCACTGGATTGACAGGGCTGAGGGCACTGGCACCATCACGTTCCGATCAGCCAAAAACGTTGTCTTTGTGCTGGACCCTCCCAAGAACAAGGATCCAAAAAAAGCAGAAGAAAGACTCCAAGGCGCAGCTTTCCATGGGGTGGGGAAATGCAGGCGAATGTGTTTAATATCAATTGGTTGGATGGGTTCCTTCCGGTTTCTTTGGCAACAGCTCTGATACAACTATGATCCTTTGGAAAACATTGCAAACACCAAACACCCATGGTTTCTTTGCAGACTTGCCTTGGCTGTCTCAGAAACTAGCTCACTTTTGGGATGATGACAGGCCAGCAACTCTGCAATCACCTTTGGTGCCAAAATGAGTATCACCAAGCTGCGCACTGCCGAGAACATCAAGATTTGCTGGCGGTTGAGGCCCATGTTGCCAAACAAAAACAAGTCAGGTAGTACCCATTAGTATCCAACGGTTGTTGTCTAAAAGCCCATCCTTTTCCCACCCATTTTCGTCCCATCCAAGCCAGGCTTCATCCTGCTGAGAACGGTGGAAAAGACATCATTCCAGTCCGTCCTGTTGCTCTGTTGGGCAACACATTGGAGGGGAAGGCTGATGAGATGTACCAGCTTTTGTGATCCCTTGGTGTTGCCCCTGAAGCTTCATTTTGTTTGAATGGAGTGAACAAAACAGCAAGATCCAGAAAAAACACTTCTTAGCGATTTCAAGGTCTCTCATACGACTTATAGACTACAACTAAGTAATGCCTCACACAATATGAGCTTGTGTCTAAAACCGTGGTTGTTGGAGCTCGGGGGAAATCAATGTTTTTGGTGTGACTGGCAGAATGCTTGTCCTGGGTATAGCACTGTAAGCAGTGCCAAAGCCTTTGGCTTTAGGGTGCCCAAGCACTTGTCTTGGGTTGTTTTGGATCCATCAGTGGGTGAAGCTGACAAGCTGGAGCACCCATCGAACAATAGCCGGACAGTTGAAACACGGAAGCAGCATGCCTCTTGCTTTGAGGTTGTATGACTTCTACGATTTTGCCTTATGCAAGATTACTCTTAATGGGATGGTTTGAGCTTCAAGTTGAAACTTTGAAACCTACTACTATACTTCTCACATGGCCCAATTTGATGCTCAAGAGGTTATTGACTAGTGACAACTTGTGTTTGGCGTCCGTTAACATCACAGTGAAAGCTATGGAAACCCCTGGCCGTGGATTGATTCATGGTTCTGCTGGGAACTCCCTCATCAACCCTCAGTTCGACATCCAATCCTACCAGAGTCTGCTAGCTACGCCTATGCCTACGCCAGCCCCAGCTTCAACAAAAGCAGCGTCGGAAAGCAAAACCAAGACACCTAATGATGGTTCTGGCACTGCAGGTCACTCGCTTCTATATTGTTGGCAACGTTTTGTCTGGGGCCATTCTTCCACCAATGGCAAAGAACTGATCTTACGCTTAACACTGATTCTTTTCATTGTTTGCCTCCTATGACTCCTATGTTTTTTAATAAGCAGGTGGTGGGCCAAAAGAAAAAGCATCGGCATCTTTGCTACAGAGGGTTGAATTGCGAAGTTCTTCTGATGACAAGAGCCCAGAGATTTTGGAGGAGGAACCCGAGGAAGAAAGCAAGCCCCTCAAGGGAAAGGGACCAGGAAAAGGGGTCATGAAGAAGCCTGCAAGCAAAAAGCAGGATGAGTATGACACTATGTTTGACGATATGATGGACCAATGGAAGGATGATGACAATCAGGACGAACCTGACGGGGATGGGGCGACGGACACAAAAGGTAGGAAGAGAAAGCACAAGAGCGCCGAAGGAAAGTCTTCAGAGAAAAAGAAACCATCCTCCAAGAAGGATTCTTGTTAACATCAATTAGTGTACATTTTTGGTTGGCCACCCCACTGTATCAGAAGAACTTCTTTGCTCAGGCTATTTAGTTCTTATTCATGGATTCTTTTCAACTTTTTGAGGAGAAGGACTCTGAAAAGAAGAAGTCCAAGGGAGGGAAGAAACATGGTGAAGATTCTGAACCTGGTCAAGATTTTGCAAATGATCCTGCTGATTGTGGCAAAGCATGTCTCAATGCCCGGGTTAAGAGATGCCTTAGCTTTGTCGCAACTTGGGCTTTGGTTTATATATAGGATTTTGTTTTTGGTTTTGGCTTTGGTATGTTTCTTTGCATTTGGTTGTACAATGTTGTACATGTGTGTTTGAGTCTTTGAACAAATGCTTGAGTTTGGTGTAAGTGTAAATTGTTTGGTATTTGTTGCAATTTGTTGTTTGTTTGTTCTAGTATATAAGAAGTGTGTGGGTCTTCTTATTATGTTGGAATATTTGGTTTGATTTCCTTCATCACCAGGGCACAAGTGGAGATGATGATGATGTACCCAAAACACCGGAGCCACACAAAGAGCTTTCCGTGAAGGAGATGCGAATTCAGCAATTCATGCTTGAAAGAATTGGTTGGCAGTTCTCTTTTGGTTTCTGAGTACAATCATCCTTTAAGTTCTAGCCGTTTGGTTGGGGGGGTTCGCTCAACCAACTCCCCTGGAGGAATCGGGCAAGGTTGACAAGCTCCTGAACAAAGCTCTGGACAGCTACATGCTTACTTCTACAGCGGAGAGTCAGGGCCATGATGAAGTCCAAGATGCTTTGAGGTTTCAATCTCGCCTTGCTGATGGTACTGTCTTTGATTCCTCCGCTGAAAAGAGTATCATGTCAAAAGCGACCGTGCCTGATGATGACTCGCTTGCAAAGACAACCCTTATCCTTGGACAGGAAGACCCTAGCCAGGACACAAGTCTTCTCCAAATAGTGCTTTTGAACAATGTTTTCTGGTTTGTTTGTGTCTTGTTTCCCAACGTGTTTTTGCATACAGTTTCGACTGATCAAACCAACACCATTGGACACAATGACAGGATGTTGACCTGGCCGACTTTGATACCAACCCAGCACCAATGAATGCGGACGCGATGATCATCCTTGATTCACCAGGGACAACGCCTGCCAAGGACTCCTGACCATCATGCTGTTCTTACCATGTGTTTAAATTGTTTGCTAGTCGCTGCTAGTCTTTAAGCTTGACTTCTGGTTACTTCTTAGCAACACCTTGAAGGATGACAACACGGGTATGGATCCCCTTCGACCGATGGCAAAGTGCTCAGCCAAGGCTCAGCCAAGGCCAAGGACAAACACAGGGAATGCTGAGACTGAGTCAAAGAATGAAAAGAAATGCAAGGCTGATGAAGGGAGCAAAACCACAAAGAAGGCTGAGACTGAGACAAAGGAAGAAAAGAAACGCAAGGCTGATGAAGGGAACAAAAAAAACAGAGAAGGCTGAGACTGAGACAAAGCAAGAAAAGAAACGCAAGGCTGATGAAAGGAACAAAAGCACAGAGAAGGCTGAGACTGAGACAAAGGAAGAAAAGAAACGCAAGGCTGATGAAGGGACGAAAGCAAAACATACCAATGAGAAGTCAGCAGGGTCAAAGAAGACCAAGGAGACAGAGAAACCAAAGCGGAAGGCGCCTGAGAAAGACGAGAAGGCAAAGGCCAAAGCAGCACCCAAGGGGAAATCCAAGAAGACTGAAGAAGAGACAGAACAAGTTTCTCAGCCAAACATTTCCAAGTGTTTCTGGCTAGGGTGTTTTGGTTTTGAGTTGAAGCTCAACTTCCTCAACTACTTCCTCAATAAAACATTGCCTTGGAATTCTTTATATTTTAAGTTGTGTTTTTTTTACAATCTTGTTTGGGGGTCCATGCATTATCATGCATTTTCTTCTTGCCTCTGAGGCTCCCAAGTCGTCAAGCAGAAACCAGATCTACAGCAGGGTCTACCGACAAGTGATTGCCCGGGGTGGTGCAAAAGAGGATGCCAGGTCCCAGGCTCTTGATGAGCTTGCGCGACAAGGGTTCACAGTGAAGTCTAGGCAACAATAGATATGCCTTGCTTCTGTTTTGGGGTTGCTACATGCTAAACCTGTCCAAGATGTAGAATGTTAGACATTGTTAGACCTTAAATTTATTTGCCAAATCCTAGTCCTGTTGTGATGAAGGAAATGAAGGCATGAAGCAAGTGACTACGTTGTGGTTTGACCGCAACTGCCAAGGGGTGTGAAAAACGGTGTCCTCATCTCGCTCAGCTGCATTGCCGTTGGCATGGGACGGTCGGCAGGTGGTTGAAAGGTGCCCCACAAAATATGTGTGGGTGTTTCAAACATTATATCATTATAGTTGATTCTGATTCTGATTCATGTGCCCTTCAAAGGAAGACGACTCGTTTGAGCCTCTCAAGGCTACCATTCATGAAGGTCAACCTGCAAAACTCAAAGTCTTGCTTTGAAATGGGCCAAGTCTTGGTTGACATGGCTCTGTTTTATGTGTATCGCCCGCCCACTGGGAGCGACACATTACGACGTATGGTGCAAACCCATGCAGGTCGTATACGTGCGTGCTGCTACTGGGACGATGATTGAACTCAGCCTATCTAAAATGGATCCATGGAACACTCGCTGTCACATCAGTGGGCTGGCACAACTGACGCAAACGTGGTGAGCGGGCAAACATGATTGAAAACACACCTTTGAATTCGCGTTACGAATACTAGCTACCATACTGTAATGGAGGGAATTGAGGGTCTGTACACTGAAAGCTAGGCTCAACGGGAGCTTGATCAAAACCTCCTTGCAAAAAGCCATGGCGTTGCAACCTAGCACACTATGCCACCCGACTGTATTGAAGGAGCAGCGGATGCCAATGGGCTTTCCAGGTTTCTGGCAGAAAAGAGCGCCGCGATCGTGCCAACACCAGGACTAGGCCTGTCCCTAATGAAGGTCATCCGCAACATCATGAAGTCTTTCTGGGTACGGAGACGGTGGGGTTGTACCATGTTGTACCTTCGAAGAAGCACTTTCGTCCGGGGTTGTTGGGGATCTTTGGAAGCGCAACAGGCATCAATCTGGTCCGGAAATCCGGGGCTCCACCCTCCGTGCTTCCGAGAACGACCAAGCAATCATGCGGGCCAACAACGAATATGCTGTGACCAAGAACACGGTCAGAAGCACACTGGCAAAGTCTGGTGTCTTCAATTGAGTTTCGCTGGTTGAGCAGATTTACATCACTGACATTGTTGGAGTTGCACTCATCAAACGGAAGCATCATAGTTTTCAACTGCAAGCGAACCCAAACAAACACTCTGAAAACAAAACAACACGCAT